CTTAGATGGTTGTCACATAGGTAATATTTAAAATCGTTCATAATAAAGCATTGGGAAGAAAAACAAACAAGAGATTGCATTTAAGAACTGTCTCATGTGAAATTTTCCATTTTTCCCTTTTCCATTCACTGTACAGATGGTAGATGTGGGGGTGGTAGAACAGAAAACAGCTGGAGAAATAGCAATATATTCAGTCATAAGTCAACTAACTAAAAGACAAGTTCAACAAAACTTTGAAACAATGTTATGTCATTTTCAGAGTCATTCAGCCAGATGCTGAGAAGTCAGAAACTGAAATATATGATTTTAAGAAAGAGATTTTTTCATGTGGTGGCTGGAGGGAGTATGAGCTTTTTTGGGAAGTTTAGGGATATTTAGGGATCACGTTTTGAAGACATTAAGGCAATTACAGAAGAAAATAAATTATGAGGTCCTTCTGTTTAGAGGCTGTGTTCTAATTTTATTATAGACACTGAAATTTGAATTCTGTATGATTTGCATGGTCATAAAATGTTTTTACACTTCTGGTTTTATTATTATTGTTTTGGGCTGCACTGTATGACTTGCAGGATCTTAGTTTCCTTAGCTGGGACCAACCCCAAGTCTCAACAGTGAAAGTATTGAGTCTTAACCACTGGACTATCAGGAAAGTCTCTAGGCTGTAGAAAACTAGGCTGTTTACCAGATTTGACCTGTAGCCTGTAGTTGGCTGACCCTTGTTCTGTTAATACATCTTGATGGGGATGTGAGTTATACAGATGTTTGCATTTGTATAACTGAAGAAACTGGTCATTTAAGATCTGTCCATTTCTCTGGAAATAGACTATTCCTCAATAGAAAAACTTCTCAAAAAAAGAAAGAGACAAGGAACTCAGTACTGATGTTCTGCTTTATTAACAAAATATTAACAGAAATAATATAAGACATTTAAATTTTCACACAAAACACTATTGTGCTATTTAAACAAAGCAGATTCAGGCAGAAAATTGTATTTTAATTGTTCTGCAGGTGAGGAATCAGTGTCCAAATAAACTCCAAATTTCTAGTTGCTAACTTTCTTTCTTTTATTTATTTAATTTTGGCTGCACTGGATCTTCATTGCTGGTCATGAACTTTTCTCTAGTTGTGGCAAGCAGGGGCTACTCTCCCATTGCAGTGCATAGGCTTCTCATTGGGATGGCTTCTCTTGTTCTGGAACACAGGCTTTAGGTGCAAGAGCTCAGTAGTTACAGCTCGAGGGCTCAGTAGTTGGGGTACAAAGGTTTAGTTGCTCCTTGGCATGTATGATATTCATGGACCAGGGGCCAAACCCATGTCCCTTGCATTAGCAGGGAGATTCTCAAGCACTGTGCCACCAGGGAAGTCCCAATTGCTAAATTTCCTAAGAGATTTTGGAAACTTCTGATGTCCCTTGGGGTAAGTTAATTCAGTGGCAGGATTTTTACTGTAATTATACGTTGGAATTTGGATGATAGTTTTTATGAACCAACAGAAATTATTTATGGCAATACATCCAGGCTAAAATATATTTGTTGGAAGTGTCAACATTCTGTTTCTCACTTTTCCATTTGCCTTGACTTCAGCTTATCCTTTGACTTCTCTGAATAGTTTCCCATATTGAAATTCCCTTCTGCCTTGTTTCTAGGATATACCTCTGTCCTGGTTCTCCTACTACTTCTAAGATCTCTCTTAGTCTTTTCAGTGTCTTTTGCTGATCCCTGAGTGAATGGTCTCATTACTTTCCTCAGGCTCTAATACCAAGTGGCAGGCTCTCCCCCAATGAGGACAGTCTCTTCACCTTGTTTGGACTCTAACGCACCACAACCAGGTGGTCCCCATTCATGCGTGTCCACCTCACCTCACTTGGGCTCTAGGTATCTCACTCTGGGTTAACCTTCTTTATGTCTACTATTGTCATCCCACTTGGGCTCTGATTCCCCCCACCAGGACTAACTTCTAAGTAGCTCAAATTTCCATGCCAGGCAGCCTCTTCTTATGAAAACCTACCTTACTCTGCTCTCTATCTTTAGGACTGAAATATTCAGGAAGAGGAAGAGAAAGGGACAGAGGAAGGCAATGGGTGGAGAATCTTTAAATATTTTACTCTTTTTTTTTTTATATTGAGGTCTTTGATCCACCTGTAACTTATTTTTCTGACATTGATGTAGGGATCTGACTTTGTTATTTTTTCTAATAAATGCTGTGCTTAGTTGTTCAGTCATTTCAGACTGTTTGTGACCCCATGGACTGTAGCTTGCCAGGCTCCTCTGTCCATGGGGATTCTCCAGGCAAGAATACTGAAGTGGGTTGCTATGCCCTCCTCTTCCTAATAAATAACAAACACCAAGCATATATTGAATAGTTTATTATTTACATTCATTTGAAATGCTGTGTTAATCATAAGCTCATTGTTTATATATCCATAGGTCTGTTTCTGTATTCTCTTAATTACTTACATACTGTATTTTGATTCTTTCATTCACTGAAATTTAATTTGAAATTAGTTTAATATGAGGAGACATGACATCTTTATCAAGTAATATAAGGAAATGGAATTTTTCAAATCTTCTTTTATGTATTTGTTTTATGGATATCTTTCCATTGGTAAAGTCCTACAGTTTTCTTCTTATAGGTTTTGTTCAATTCACATTATGTTTTTTTCCTGTAGTTTTTCCTGTATTCTATAGTTTTCATGATCATAAGTGGTTTCTTTTTCTTCTGTTTTCTGTTCTAATTAATGCTTGTTCAGGAATAGGAATTCCTTTGGTCTTTTTGTTGTTGCTGATCTTTTATTGTACCACCTTCTTGATTCTGGTATTAGTTCTAATAATTTGTCATGAATACTTTTGGGTGTCAATGTAGAAGATCACATTTATAGGATTTTAAATAGAGCTTTAAATTCAAAAGTAACATGAATACTTTTGTCTTATAAAAGTGAGAGAATTACAATGTTAAATCATCTTTGACCAACACCCCCCAATACTAGAGTGCACTTTCCAATACTAGTAGCCATCATTATGAATTTTAATGTATATATTTCATAAAACATATATACTGTAATTTTTGTGTGTGAATTTTCAAATATTGCCAAATGCAACTTTCTTTTTCATTCAAAATATGCTTTGCTAATCTATTCTCATTGGTACATCTAAATATTAATATATTTCATTCCCTTTCAAATGCTCTACTCACTTTTCATTATATGTATAATATTTTATTTACTTATGACCCAATTGAAAAACATTTAGATTATTTCTAATTTTTCACAGCCACAAATAATATTGTAATGAACAACCTTGTTGATGTCTCCTAGTTCACATTTGTGGGTGTTTTTCGAGCATGGGTGTCTTTCCAGGGTAGGTGTCATATTCCTAGGCTTGTAGGATGTTTAAAAATTTTTAATCATGAATAAACATTAAATATGTGTGTGCTCTTAATATTCCCAGTTTTCTAGGTAGTTTGGAGTTCATTGCGGGTGGGTATTCTTTTCAGTCTCTACTAAAGTAAACCTGATTTTTCTCTTTTCACCTATTGTGGTGAATTATAGAAAATTTCTAAACTTGAAATACCTCATATTCAAATAATAATCCTAACTAATCATGTGATTACTTTTAAAATAATTAATTAGCAAAAATAAAATAAAAGTAAAAATAATTAGCAAGCTGGACTTGCTAATATTTTATTTAAGAATTTTTGTTCTTCATTTACAAGTGTGGTTGAACTATATAGCTTTCCTTTCTTGTACTCACCTGATTCATATTTGATAATAGGGGTTCACAAGTTTTATAAAATTGGATAAAACATTGAATATCTTTCCATCTTTCCTAAGTTCTGGAACCATAATGTAACCTAGGAATTATATATTATTTGAATTTTATATAATTCTTCCTAGCTATTGCTTTTCAAATTAATAGTTAATTATGTAATCTAAATCCTCTATACCTAATTTAAAAAATCTTAGATGCCTATTTCTGGGATAGATCTATTTATATCTTCAGTACACTCTACTACAAATTATCAAAAAATTTTTCATGTTTAATCTTAGCAAAGGTTAGAATATGTTCCCACAGTCACAACAGTTCTAATGTATGTTATGCTGTCTTTGTAGATTTCATCCTTCATTATTATAAAATCATTTTTGATGTCTTTGCTTTCAACTTTATTAACATTGCTCTATTGCTGTCCACTGATTACCATTAGATTAGAAACTCTTTAAGGGCCATTTTCTCATGTTTTGTGCTGCTGTTGAAGTTTGCTGCAGGTCAATTTATAGGTTGTTTTTAATCCAGTGAGTCTTTTTAAAGTCTGATTAAAATTAACCCACTTACATTTATTGTAAATACTGATATTTATACTTACTCCTTTAATTTTTAAAATCAATTTAGCATATTTCTGTCTAGTAGTTGTTTATTTTTCCCCTCCCTTGTTCCCATTCTGACTTAGGTTGGACTGGATATGTTTTGTTCCATTTCCCCCCTCTTTAATGGTCTGCAAATTGTAAATCAATCAAACTAATTCTTGTGTTTATTCTTAAAATTTTTATTTAATGTCAAGCATCCACAACATACATGTTTAAAATCAACACCCGGATTTAACTTGCATCTATAATTCCTTGAATATGTTTCTGAACTTTTTCTGATTCTCAGTTTTCACACTTGTAAAATGTGAGCTTGAGTTCTCCACTTAATCTTATTTAATCTTAAAGATTAAACATGATACCACATCAAGCACCAGCCTTTATAAAATAACAGATCTTCAATTCCTTCATTGCATTTTTTTCTTCATTCAACCAAAAATCTTCAGGTGGAACAGACACAGTCACCTTTCAACTCCTTTGTCCTTCAAAGTCACTTCCTCTTCATATCTCTTACATCATTATGACCTTGATCTTGTCTTTCATTTTCTTTGTAAGACTCAGAATATCTTCTCATTCTCCCTTTACATTAAAAAACATAAAGAAAATAGCCCATTCTTGCATTGTACGAATGGCCTCTTTTGCTTTAGATATAATTAATATCATTTCCCAGTGACTCCATGCCTTTCTTCATTTTTCCTTCAAAATGGCGGACTTCAGACGTTCCATGATCATCACCACGTGCGCCTGCGCCTCCCGCGGCCATTTCGCCCATCAGCCCAAGCTCCAGCCTTTGCTCCGCGAAGCGCCTGCGCACGAACCTCTCGAGCACTGTCGCTCCTCCCTCTAGCTGAGTACGCTTCAAACCGCACGTTCCAGTCCCTTCCCTCCCCCGCTGACTCTGCACCTCCCTCACCCCTTTCCTGTGAGATTCTTCCGCGAAGTGGAAAGCCTATCTTCGGTCGACAGCCTACGCACTTGACAAGCAATCCAATAGGCACTTACAGCCCTAGGGTTCGCCCTCTAGTCTTATCTGTACACCACCGTAATTTTCCTCTGGGTCCTAAAGTTGATAACCGATTTCGCGGGACTTTTTTGCATCCGTGAGGCAACAAATGGAAAGAATGGCCCTGGCGGAGGAATCCCTCGCTTACGCTCGGTGTACTTTCACGTAATGGGGGTCGTCCGAGAGTCGGAAGGGGGAGGGGAGAGGGAGGAGGCAGCCAAGGAATTGTTTTTTTCTCTCGCCCCGCCCTCCCTCGGACGGCCAATGGTGATGGGCTCTTTCCCTACTGGTCTCGCCCAGCTCCTCGGACTCAGCCAATGACCGGTGGAAGCGGCTCCGAGGGGGCGGACCCGGGAGGCTGTGCGTGTCTTGTGAGAGCTCTTGAACCAAGTCAGAGCTAGAGTCGGCTGGGCGGCTGGAAACGGCAGCCGCCGCCGGTGACTCAGGGAGGCGGGAGGCGGGGTAAGAGCGCCGCGGCCTCGGCTGAAGGGAGCGGAGGAAGAAAGGTGAAGGCGCCAAGCCCCGCGGCCCCGCCATCCCCGGGCCGGGGCGCCGGCCGGGGCTTCTGCGGCCGGGAAGAAGGGTGTCGGGCGGGGCGGCGGGGCAAGTGCGGAACCGCGGGCTCGCCCCTCCCGCGGGGCCGCCCGGGGCGGGGACCCGGCCGCCTGGGACAGGCCCTCTGCTTCGGGGCCTCTTCTTTTCCGGGGTGAGGGGCGAACACTTTCAAATCCACTTAAGCCGCAAATAATTCTCCTCGCTCAGTCTGCGGTGAGGTTTAAGGTTTTGGAAAAGCGAAACTTGGGAGAGCGAGGGTCACGCGGCGCTTGGGGCCAGTGTTTGGGTTGGGGGAGAGATGGGGGGGCGGGGAAGGCGCGGGTGCAGAGATCGGGTGCTGAGTCTTAACGTCCTCGCACCCGCCGCCCCCGCCGCCCGGGGTCCGGTCCTCAGAGCGGGGTTAGGACCCTCTCTCCTCCCTGGCCTCCTCTCTCCACCCCCCCGCCCCCCACCGCCCTCTCTTCCCGGCCCCCTCCTGCTGGCCGCCTCCGTTGCATTTTGTTTTTGTGTTTTTGCAGGGAGGAGCCCTTCCTGCAGCGTGGAAACCATGGTGCTCACGCTCGGAGAAAGTTGGCCAGTACTGGTGGGGAAGCGATTCCTCAGTCTGTCTGCAGCCGACGGCGGCGACGGCGGCCACGACAGCTGGGACGTGGAGCGCGTCGCTGAGTGGCCCTGGCTCTCCGGGACCATTCGCGCCGTCTCCCACACCGACGTTACTAAGAAGGATCTGAAGGTATAACCGGCTCCCGGGGCTCGGCAGTCGGACGTTTCCTAGTTACCTTGGTAACGAGACAGCCAGCACACCCCCATTCCCCACCTCCCCTTTGCTGAAAAGGCGACCAGAAAGTTGGCATCTGATCTGAAGGTGCAGAAAACTAGACCTTCAAAGTCTTTGAAATGGTGTGTAGAGCGAGGTGTGTTTGGCCTGGAGTTGCCTGTTTTTAATAAGGGGCTTAGGGGCTGCTCAGACATGCTTAGTTGTTGCCCGCGCTGTGCCTCCTTGCTCAGTTGCTATGTCTTATCCGACTCTTTCAACCCCATGGACTGTAGCCTGCCAGGCTCCTCTGTCCGTGGGGATTCTCCAGGCAGGAATATTGGAGTGGGCTGCCATTTCCTTCTCCAGTGCTTCCTCAGGATAGTAACGGTTCCTTCTAGGAAGGGGGGAAGTGTTGTTAATGCTATCTTGGGCAGGTGGGTGACATTTGAAATGTTTGTTGAGAATAGTGGGTGCAAGTGCGTTTAGTTGGGTTTTTTGGTTCGTTCCTCCGAATTTCTTCCCCCCAACTTCTTAAACTTTCAGACTTGTGAGAAGAAAAGTGTGTGTAGAGGGAGGAGCGTAGTCCTCTTTTCAGCGTGTTAGGGTGGGTGTTTGCCCGTATATGGTGGGTCAGGGCAGGAGTGAGTTTCCTGGTTGTCTTTGAGGAGTCTGTAAGTGGGTGTGGGATGTGACCATATATGGAGGGCTGGGGTGGAGCTGCCCCTTATACGGTGTGCCGGAGGAATGACTTCAAACACTCCATTGGAGTGTTGGAAGGGAGAGAAATGGGAACACTTGCGGCAGGTGATTTTGAATCCGAATGACACGCAGAACCTTTTTTCAGTTAGATCTTTTCAAAAAGAGATGAATTCTGCTCTTACTCCGTAATAGAAGTATGGGTGTGAAAGGATGTTGGAAACTAGCAGTGAGGAAGCCATTGTACCAATAAACTCTCCTTTGTGCAAAAAAATAACTGGAGAGAGGTCCCCAACAGAGACTCTGAAGTGGTGATAACTTGAAGGAAGCTTGTCAGAACAGAAGAGCTTTCCATCTTGGGTAATGGATTCATTTGATCATTATCTTGGCTTTTTCTTGCAAACTGCGCAGATAAAGGAAGCAAGCTTTCGCACTGGCAGTTGAATACATGTTGAATTCTGAGACACTGTTCAAGGAGAACACTTTCAAGGTGACAGTGCATGCCCCAACTAGTAATTAGTCTGCAAAAGGTTATAGGAAAGGATATGTGGCCAAATATTTTCAAAGCTTCGGTAGTCTACTTTATCTTCATGTGGAAAAAGGAGTGACCATTGTGTACTTAACCATGTGCTAGGCATCATGCTGAACAGTTGATAGCTGTGTTCATATTTAATCCTTACAGAAGTTCTTTGGGGGTAGGTACTAATATTCCCCACTTTACAGACAAAAATACTGGGCCTGGGGGAGATTGTCTTGTCTAAGGTCAAAATTGGAATCGTTCTCAGAAAGTTTTGACCCTTGAGCCCACTTTCTTAATTATCATGCTCCCTAATCAAAGGCTGTGCCACTGAAGGACTCCTGTCATACAGGAGTGTGTATGACCATACACGACACTGTCATACAGTGTGAAATTGGTTTCACTCCTTGCAAACTGGGTTTTGAAGTTTACAGAAAGAATTAGTATGGTGCAGGGATGGCCAGCCTGTTTGTTTTAGGCTAATAAACTTTCTCCATAAAAATGGGCTTTGGGGAGTAGATGTTAATCATAGTTGTTATGGTTTATTTCACAACAAGTAAAATTTTCTCTATTGCCTTTGTTTTTATTTGATTTGAATGGAAACGAGATTAAGCTTCACAGTTTTTAGTTCTTTAGCAGCTGATGAGACACTAGGTGTTCCCTTCCCTATCAGAAATCAAGGACCTGTTGGGTTAGGAAGGCAGTCTAGGAGGTCCTTTGTGTGTCCTCTTCTCTGCGTCTTCCTCACCCCCAGCCTTTGAAGTGGTGGTGATAGCTTCATTTTCAGAAAGAAATAGATTTTAAAAAGGAAGTCTTGTCCAGATTTGCATAGTTAGCTACTAAGGGACACTTGAATCTAGGTTTGGTTGTTTGTCTTCCGGTGGGCTAAGGTGCCTAACCTGGAGGCAAGGGGGGTTTAATTCAAGAACAATTTCAATTATAGTGGATTTTTTAGCTTTACCTACATTCTTCACAACTCAGCCCTCGTGTAAGAAATCTACTCAGCTTTTCTTTTCTAGTCATGATTTATTGCTGCATTCCTTAATGGAGTAGCAGATGAAGTAACTGGCATAAGTGTAGGGACATGTATTACCAAAAGCAGTGTTGGAAACTTTGAAACCAATTGTGTTTGGCAAATAGGAATTTGTATTTGAGTAGGAATTTGGGGAATGAGTTGGGACTGGGGGCAATAATGAATAAGAAGGAATAAAATTCAAGTTGTGTGCACCTGTTTTAGCACTGGTAGAGAGCCAAGTCTGTCTAGACTGATTTGCTTCCTTGGTTGAGTTAATAAGGCCAGGGCTTGTTAACTTTGTTTCATTTAGAGAAAGACTTTGTAACAAAGCCACTTACTCAGTTACATTTTGTTTAGTGGTTGATTACAAAGAAGTTAGGTAAAGACAGAATTAACAAATACCTCTTCCCAGGTTGCTCAAGCAGTAAAGAATCTGCTTGCAATGCAGGAGACTCAAGAGACAGGAGTTTGATCCTTGGGTCAGGAAGATCCCCTGGAATAGAAAATGGCAACCCACCCAAGGATTCTTGCCTGGAGAACCCCATGGACAGAGGAGTTTGTGGGCTACAGTCCATGGGTTCACAAAGAGTTAGACATGACTGAACAACTGAAGCAGTAAATGCTTTTATTTTATTCTCACAAAAATCTTAGATAGTAAACCACACTTTTTAGTATTAGAAACTGAGGCTTAAACAAGTTAAATAACTTGCCCAGTTTTGTCTCCAAATCTTAAACACTAAGCTTTAATGTTCAGATAGAAGGAAATTAGCACAGCTCTTATTTTGCTGGCTTCAGTATCCCCAGAACTAAGAACATTGCTTGGCATGTAGTTTTTGCTAAAATATTTGAATAGATAAGTGAAAGAATCAAATAGTTATTGCTTATATATAGAAAAGCAGTTTAGAAATAATCTTGCAATGGAACAGTGATATTCTCTTTATCTGGAATAACAACAGGTCTTAATTAGGTGTGATTGGAACAACGTCTTTAACTTTATTTTTATCCCACTCTTCTTCTTTGAGTGTGAGGCAGGTTGCTTTCTAACTGGCTTTGTTCATTATGCATGCTGAGAGTGTCCTTCTCTGCCTTGTTTGTCTAGGTCTTTCCCTTCTTTGCTCTTGTTGTTCAGTCACTAACATGTGTCATACTCTTTGTGACCCCATGGACTGCATGCAGCATGCTGGGCTTCCCTATGCTTCAGTATCTCCCTGAGTTTGCTCAAACTCAAGTCCATTGAGTTGGTTATGCCATCCAGCCATCTCATCCCCTGTCCCTCCCTTGTCCTCTCACCCTCAGTCTTTCCCAGCATCAGGGTCTTTTCCAGTGGGTCGTCTCTTCACATCAGGTGGCCCAAGTATTGGAGCTTCAGCATCAGTCCTTCTAATGAATATTCAGGATTGATTTCCTTTAGGATTGACTGGTTTGATCTTGCAGTCCAAGGGACTCTCAAGAATATTCTCCAACACCACAGTTCAAAAGATCAGTTCTTCGGCACTCAGTCGTCTTTATGGTCCAACGCTCACGTCCATACACAACTATTGGAAAAACCATAGTTTTGACTAGATGGACCTTGGTTGGCAAAGTAGTGTCTCTGTTTTTTAATACGCTGTCTATATTTGTCATAGCTTTTCCCACTCATTAGGAGCTGAATGCCTTGACTACTGTCGTCTACCTGGTCTTTTCATCCTTGTATACAGTTAAAACTTGAATGTAGGTGGATTCTGTTGCCTGTCAAGCCATGTAAAATGAGAAACTTTTAGCACAGTGTAATAACTGTTTACCCCTATAATTGAATGCTTGACTCTAGGATTTTAGATAAAAGTCTGGGTGGAAGAAGACATAAATAGAAGCGTAATGAGATGATTTCTGATTTGTGAAGTAGTGAAATAAGTGGTCTTCTGCATCATCGTGCTGGACATAGAGTAGATAATGTCATCAAAAACTTTGGGATTAAAAAACATGCCGTTGTGTAAGTGCCTATTTTTAAACCTGGAAAC